GGGTAGGGTAGGGTAGGGTAGGGTAGGGTAGGGTAGGTTTAGGGTAGGGTAGGGTAGGGTAGGGTAGGGTAGGGTTAGGGTAGGGTAGGTTTAGGGTAGGGTAGGGTAGGGTAGGGTAGGGTAGGGTAGGGTAGGTTTAGGGTAGGGTAGGGTAGGGTAGGGTAGGTTTAGGGTAGGGTAGGGTGGGGTAGGGTAGGGTAGGGTAGGGCAGGTTTAGGGTAGGGTGGGGTAGGGTAGGGTAGGGTAGGGTAGGGTAGGGTAGGCTAGGCTAGGTTTAGGGTAGGGTAGGGTAGGGTAGGGTAGGGTAGGTTTAGGGTAGGGTAGGGTACGGTAGGGTAGGGTAGGTTTAGGGTAGGGTAGGGTAGGGTAGGGTAGGGTAGGGTAGGTTAGGTTTAGGTTTAGGGTAGGGTAGGGTAGGGTAGGGTAGGGTAGGGTAGGGTAGGGTAGGGTAGGGTAGGTTTAGGGCAGGGCAGGGTAGGGTAGGGTAGGTTTAGGGTAGGGCAGGGCAGGGTAGGGTAGGGTAGGGTAGGGTGGGGTGGGTGGCAAAGTCACCCCCTGTTCAGTGGTAGGTGTTAGCTGGAAACCACACCAGACACTGACTTTGACCTCCAGAAAAAGTCAAACTGACCCTGGGGAAGTGATGGAGTAGGTGGGTGAAGGGGGTAGGCGGGAAGTCGACCGAGTAAGTGGGTGGGTAGTGGGGATCTGGGAAACAAGTGTTCGAAAGCCGTGGATACCCAGAAAGTCAGCTTCCGTGTAATTGGTGGTTTGGAGCCCGGTAGCTTGGTGGTGTGCCGGGGTGGTTTTTTTCCATTTAACCTCTACAAGAACCAGGGACCTGTTCAAATTCAAATCCAAAGCACCAACAACCTGAGAAAGGATTGCAAAAGTCGCCGGAAAACGCAAGGCTTTGGACCAGAGGCCCAATGAACCTTGCTGCGACCTGAAAACAAAAACACGGGTCAGAAAAACACGGGTCAGAAAAATGGGGGCGACCGACAAAGGAACATCCGTACCCGGGATTTGGGCACGTGGCTCACATCTGGCTAGTGGCTCCTTGGCAGCTGCCAGGGTCATCTCGCTAAGCTCCACTGGTCCATATTCGAATGATCGCTGCCGACGTCGGCGCAAATACCATCGGAGGGCGGGCACCTCGTTGCAAGCTGAGTCCATCCTTTAAAGTGACTAAAATGACCAAAGAGGGCGCCAGATTCTTTTTACCAACCCAGCCCACGTATCCAGAAAACGGCTTGCACGCGCCGTGTGTGGAAATCATTTGTTCTTTTTCTGTTGGTTTTTTTTTTAAGAAATCATGTTTGCACTCTTTTACTATTCAGATTCAGGGCTGGATCACCGAAAGCCACCTCGTCTGGAACATCGCCCAGGTCCAGACGTGAAACCTGAGCCTCCGGCCGCAGCCACCGCAGTTCCGGCAGCTAGGACCGCCAGCCACAACCTCCGGAAGCCGTTGACATGTTGACTTTGAACCGGGGCTCAAAAAAACGGTACCAAAATGAAACAGTGGTAAGTGGAAACATGGACCAAAACCTGCGCAACCCCTACTGTTCAATTCTGAGCCACACCCAACTTTGGTGACAGCACTTCGGTGGGGTTTAATTTGTCCACCAAACACCTTTTGAGGTGGAACCTAGTAAAGATCCATGGCCACATGTCAACCCCAAATCAAAAAAGACTGCTCCGTTGAAGATGTTGGACCTAAAACTTCAAAGCTGCCTTGATCCATCAGCTTCGGCTCCTGCATGTGGCTTCCAACTCTGAAATGCATGCCTGTCGACATCACGCACCAAAGCAATGCGCTCCTCGCTCGCCTCGCTTTAGCACACCCGAAGCTGCCACCATGAGCTGTGCACTCCGTCTCTTCTTTCGCCGGGTAGACTCGCTATGTTCAGGTGAGCAGAGTGGACGTGCGCTGCCACTACTCAGCATCCCTCTGATGGGTGCTTCGGAGCCCGGTGGTTTGGTGGTGTTCTGGGGTGTTGTTTTTTCCCCATTTACCCGCAAGAACCAGGGACCCGTTCAAATCCAAACCACCAACCAAGGGTTACCTGACAGCAACTGCCGACTTCCGGATTTGGTGCTTCTGGCATTCGTCTTCCCAAGCTTGAGCTTCCCGAGCCAGCGAGATGCGAGCACAACTCATCGCAAGACTCTTTCCATGGGCTCCATACCGCCAACCAGCGGACTCTCTGTTTTTTTTGGTACTCCTTTTTGGGGGTTGCTTCTTGTTGACCCCAAATTCATCAGCCCCTGTTTCTAAATAAGGGGGTGTCTCCCTCCAAAAGTCATAAATCCCCACTAAAACCAAGAATACCCCCATATTAATAAACAGGGGGTTGTTCATGCGGGGTCGACATTAAAGGCAAACCAACAAAGAACCCCGCTCAAGCAAAGGGCAACCAGCTCTGTGTCAGCCGCACGACCGCCTGCTCGTGGGAAGAGACCATGGGCAAGGCGGTGGTCTGCAGGTACCGCGCGAGCTCTTGGACGTCGCTCTCCGGCAACTGCCTGCATCTCAAACACCGACGGCTGTTGGCGGGAGCTTCCAGGCTTCCCTTCAAACAAAGCGGAGAACCCCCCCAAAAAAAGCAAGAAGAAGCTCACTGCCACATCCTACATGAGTCCAACTCTGGGCTGTCGTCCTCAGATCTAAAAGCCAAAAATGCTTCGTGGCTTTAGCTGGGAACTGCCACCAAGCCAACCCAAAAAACCAAAAACCTCGGGAACCGCATGGCCAACTGCCAATGCAACTCTCCGAGTCCGCGAAACCTTCGCTTCGCTTCGAGCTTCGCGGTTCGAGGCGCCGGCCAGCCCGACTGATCCTGGGCCTGTGGAGCCTGGCGGGCATGCCACACCCTCGGAACGCAAGATTCGGCGAGCACCTTGGGTATTTCAAGGGAAACCCAGGAGGACTTTGGGTAGTGACTGCCAAGGTCTCCTTTCTTGTTTTTTCTTGAAATACCCAAGGTGCTCCCGTTTGCTCAAATGGTCGTACTCCCAGAACGCAAAGAATTGACCAGGCGGCGCCCATTGACGGATAGGATCGTCCCTCCCATCGCTTTCCGGTCGCGCCTCGGAGTTGTTGGGGCTCTCCTCCTCCTCCTCCTCCATCCAGCCCCGGCTCAGCTGCGCCAGACGGGCCTTGGTGAAAAAAAAGTCGGCGGGTTCTTGTGATGCGTCAAAATGGGGGGGGCCCTCCAGATTTCAGTTGGGGGGGGGGGGGACTTTCCGGTTGGTTTCCCTTGAAGCCAACCTACAAACAAGGCACCCGCAAGAGAGAGAGCATCCACCCATGCGCACCCACGCACGCACGCGCACGCGCACACACACACACAAACACTTTGATCATGTAGAGTCTTGCATCTTTCAGACAAGGAGGTCCCAAAGCCGCACCCAGTTTTCGCCTCCAGGTCGTCCTCCCCAAAGAGCGCATCTGCTGTCTGCGAGACCTCGCTGCCTCCGGCAAGCCGGGCTCTCAGAGCAAAAACGGGAGTACCACGTCCACGACTCTACCAGAAAAAAAATGCAGATTCCGACCTTTGAAATGTGCCCAACCTCAAAACATCAGAAAACTCCTGGGAATTCATGCCCCCGAATCAACTCATCGCCGAATGCCAAAGCTGGACGGCGCGCTCGCTCTGTGCGCCCATCCTGGCTCTGGCAGAGCTGGCGGAGCTGTGTCTTCAACCTAGCAAAGCGTCCAAGTACCGGAGCTGCAAACAGGGGCCACCATTATGAATTTCGGGAACCGCCATTTGGCTTTGTCCCAAAATAGGGAACTTTGACATTCTTGGGACGCTTAAGGAAAGCAAAAGCAAATCATCTTCCTAAAGGGTCTACAGCCTCTTCCTGATTTCCAGGGAGACTTGAACCCAGAGGCTCCCCGCTTCGGGAAACAGTAATAATAATAACGGTTTGAGTGGGTGCGTCTTTTTTGAGTACCCGGTATGTGTTTGTGGTTTTCAAGTGAAGCCAAAAGGAAAACCGAAGACAGTTTGGAGGCAAAGACACACCCAAGTCTGTAAAGGCAGGCGTGGAAAAAAAAAAAAAAAACGTTGCCCTGAAAGACTGCGGGTTCAGCTTTGCGAGTACCTGGTTTCTGTCAGGTTCTTCAGCCCCCCCATGTCCTTCATTACATGGACCAAAAGCCTGAGAATTACTCTGACCGAGCCTCATGATCACCAGATGCCGAAGCTAAACCAGCCGGGGAGTCAAAGGCGTCCCCACAGTGAAACTCCGCGAAGTCCATGTCCTTGATCCGACAGAAACGTCGCGCCCGAGCTCCCAGTCGTGTAAACACGGACATGTGAATGCTTCACGTGCCTTGCGAGCAAAACCCAAAGACGACTTCTCAAAATGGACCCGAGTGCTTTTAAACCTTGAAACTTGCTGGGCTCTCGGGAATGAGAAATGGAATGACGCCTATAGACAATCCCCGATGTGGCTTTTAAGGGAAACCCTTCATTCCCAACACCCGCAAACTCGGTCATTCCCTATCGCACCAGCAAGAAAGGAAACTATGTCCAGCACCCATGTGTGACAAGCTCCCTGGGCCATTTGCATCGGCTTGAGCCCGGCGCCACCAACGGCGGGATGCCAAATGGCCGAGAGGATCGCAGTACCTGCGAATGATGCCATGGCCACATGCCATGGCCGCTGCATCTTCGGTCTCAAATTGCAGCAGCCAAGCCTTCCCCCTTCCCCACCCAAAAAAAACAACAAAAGCTCTTTTCTTTTGCAAATGCACGCTAGGCCGGCGCCAAACAAAATAATAAAACTTTTGGAAATTCACGCTAGCGCCCACCATTCTACGCCTCGGGCCCATGTCTGTCTTTTTTTGCACTCGCAACATTCAGAGGTAGAGAGCCACACCAAGGAGTGCCTCAGAAAACGAGAAACAAGCAGATAAGCCTGAAATGAGCTATGAGCAGGTGTCAAAGCAGGGATTTGGGCCAGGACCCAAAATTGGCGGTTTTTCCCTCTGGTTTCACTTTGGTTTCCCTTTGGTTTACGTTTGGTTTCTTCCCTTTGGCTTTCCTTTGGTTTCCCTTTGATTTCCCTTTGGTTTCCCTTCGGTTTCCCTTTGGTGTCAAAACGAGTACCGAGCCTTCGAAACACAGAAATCCCCACACCGACACGTAGATGGTGAAGATTGGCCGTTGCTCAAATACGAAGGATGCAGGCAAGGGTCCGCCAGCCAACTGCAGTGCACCGCGTTCGACTTCTCCGACTTCTCCTCCGACTTCTCCTCCGACTTCTCCTCAGACTTCTCCTCCTCCTTCTCCCCATCCGATGCCAGCTGCGTGGCTGAACTCTCTGTGGGGCAGTTCCTTGGCTAAGGCCAACTTACAGATCCTTCATGTTGCTCGCCCGATTGTACTCTTTGACCCTGTGGAAGTGACAAAAACATGGCGCTGCGTCTCCCCTCGCGCTGTCGGGACCCAAAAATGATGGCCATCTGATTGCATCAAGGTCTCACAAAAGAGACGCGCTCTGCTCGGTCCACCTTTCCTTGGATATGGCAAAGGAGTCAACCTTCGAACATGGATATCAATTCCAATGGACCGTTTCGTGTGCGCATCATGTTTGGTGGGGACACTTTTGAGGCGGTTTCCCCACTACCATGCAGAGCCGTTTGGGTGAACATCCTCCCGACATGAGCCCCCTCTCGGGGTAGAGGATTGGTTTCCAGAACAGTTGATGCCCACCTCTTCAGAATGATCTCGCCGAGCTTCCCCAATACCCGTCTTCAAGACTGTGGCCCTCCCCAGTGTTGCCATGACCTCGGAAGGGGGGAGCTTTTTACACGTGCCAAACTACTCCCACTGCGCCTTTCCAATAATTGTACATATCTATCTTGTCTTCCTTCTCATCGTACCTGCCAATGTCAATCCGGACAAGAAGAAGAAAGAAAACGCGGCACGCGCATCGTGTTCTCAAGCAACTCATACGGACGCTCGGCCCCAAGCCATCCGCACTCCCACTTCTCCGTATTCCTGTGAAGCAAATTTGTGTCGCCGCATGTCACCGAGCACGTCACCGCAGATTCCAGAGTACGAAAGCCAGCTACTTCCATGGTGCACCACCCACTCAAACCGACACGCAAAAACAGAATCCGCACCATGGACGTGCATTACAGGGTCCACACATAAAAGCCAAAAAGCTAAGGAACCGGAAGACGAAGATTTTGCCGAGTCGCCCCGCCCAAGGTTTGGTCAGCCACTGGACACGACTCTTCATCTTGCCTTTGCAGAGCGCCTCGCCAGGCGGATCAAAATCCGAATGCACCGCCGGAAAGGCGGGTCGAAGGGGCACCTCCAAACATGGCATTGGTTTTCCTTCTGGCTTGCCTCTACACCAAGACGAAAGGAGAACCCTCAAAAACACACACACACACAAAAAGAAAAGATAGGTCAAGAGAAGGCATGCAAGTGTCAACTAACGTAAAACACCAAAGAGCCTGCATCTCAGAGCCCGAGGTGACCATCTGGTGCATATGCCCATTCCAAATCCTGGCTCGTTTCTTCGCGACTCGTGGCACTCTTCACCCAAAAAACTGGCGCAACTAGTTTTTCCGACCTGAAAAGGGTACTCTCAACAAAAGCTGAAACCCACCACAAAAGCTCAAACCCACCCGTGTTCGCTTCGCGCCAAATTTGGCGCGTGCCTGAATTTCCCGTTGCAGTAGATCTCCACCTCCATCAACCTGCGGCGAAAACGCGAGGCGAGAAACTTTCGCACGACTCACCTCACGCGAAAATGATGGGCAACACACATAAAGAATTTGCGGCTCCATGTGGTTTCTTTTCAAAGCTATGTGGTTCCTTTTCAAAGCCCAAAGATATATGTGTCCATTTAGAGGGTGCCCAGTTTTCTGGTTTTGAAGGGGAAACCAAAAGGACCACCGAAGCCAATTTGCGGTTCCAACCTTAAAAAACACACCCATATGGAAAGCTGCAGCTTCTGAGTCCCCTTCCAATTTCCTTTTCACGGTGTCCAATCCCGAAACGCAAATGAAACCGGGTACTTGCGGCGCGGCTCGTGATGCGTCGGCCATCCGCTGTAGTGCACCTGCCGCGAGCTCTTGTTGTGCGAGGGAAACAGGAGGATTGGGGCCAAAAATGTCAGGGGTGTTGGTCGAAAATAGGGCAATGAGTTTGGTCGAGTCTTGTAACGGATGGTGCCGCTTCGCTCGCCTTCCACTTGCCGGCGCTCTTGATGAAGGCAGGGTCAGTCACCTAACAAAAGCCCATATGGAGCGAAGCCCCTGGTTTGGTCGGAAAGCAGAGAAAGGCAAGCAACCAAACGCTGGGGTTCAGTTGCCATTGAAACAATGGTTGGGTTCATATTGCACCACCCGTTGTTTACCCTTCAGGATTGTCATCTGAGTTGGGTCCGGTCAAGGCCCTTCTTTTGGAAACCTAGGGCACAGGGGACCTCCAAAATTTGAGACAACCCCAGCATATCCAGAATCCAGTCGTGCCCCGGTCGCGTCCTGGGCCAACTTAATTTCGGCTCGCTGAAGTCCAAAAGCGTGGGAAAAGAGCGTGGGGGTGGGGGGAGGGGTTCGTACGCTCTGGTGTTAGCATGAAACTTGTTGAGTCCCCATAAACTAGTGGGCAAAAGTCCAAAAGTGCCTTTGTACGCATGGACCATGGTCTGGGCACTCTGACTGATACGAAGTATCCCTGTGTTGCCCTGGATAACAAGAGTGCAATACTTGTCCATGTGTTCAAACGCAAACCTGCAAGCAACATCCGACTTGGCTCGCTGCCCCAAGCTTCTCCACACGTCCCTTGGCCAAGCCTGATCGAAGGCAGGCCATTGCATCACCCTGCGACTCCCGTCGCTTTGTGCATTTGTGCTGTCTTGAGGGTTGTTCAGGTGGGTTTCAAGAGAAGCCAACAGCTAAACATAGTTTTGAGCTATTTTCACACATGCCATTGTCAGCCATCTCTCGCCTTCATTGGATGCGTCGAGCTGGATTGCTCCTGCTTTCAGCGCACCGCCGAAACGCATGCAGTATGGTTGGCTTGCCGTCTTCGTGTCGCTCTTAAATTGAGAGACTCGAACATGTCCAAGCTGCTAATCCAAACCGGACAAGAACAAGGTCATGCACAGTGCCATTGCACAAATCGGACACGTCAAAGCTCCCTGTGACAGGACAGCAGCGCTCAGCACTCCTCGGCTCTGCTTGGTACATGCCACACATACTTGCTCCACATCTGATCGGTATCAAGATGCGGCCACGCACTTGAGCAGCGCCCAAAATCTGCTTGACTTCTGGTTGTCAACATGGCTGGCAAGGCTTCTCTTGGCCTGCATACAATCCCCACAAAAGAAGTAGTAGAACTCCCTACCTAGAATTACCCGGGATGGACGAAATCCTGCACCACTGGGAAACCATGGGAAACCATTGTTTGTTGGTATAAGAAGTCATCATTCCAGGGTTTCTTAGGTGGTGCGTTGCATGGATTTCGTCCATCCACGGTGGGGCTGACATGAGATTCTCAGGCCATGGAGCTTGCCGCATGAGGTTCTGCTCGCCTCACCACGGACTCGCTGGTGTTTCCTGCACAGACTTGCTCGTCCGAAAAAAAGAGCTCAGCCGACACGGGAGTCGTGTCAAAAACTGGCGGACCCCCAAAAAATCTGGATGTTTCCCCTTGTAGCTCCCCAAAGAGCCACACAGATTTTTTCAGGACCTCCTGGCCTGCGTTCAGGGCATCAGCTGCTAGGAGGATGCTCAGCAGCACGAGCATCACACATGAGCCTGACGGCCATGTCGCTGATGCAGCCTGGATGGACGAAATCCTGCACCACGTTGAAACCATGGTTGAACCATGACGTTTGTTGGTCTTTGTATACGCTGGGGAATCATCATTCCAGGGTTTGTTAGGTGAAGCGATTTCTGGATTCCGCAACCATCCACAGTATGTCTCTGATGCAGCCTGCATGGAAAACAACAGTCGTAACTAACCCCGAGCCCAACATGGGGGCCCTCCTCAAAAGGAGATAAGAGGGACGTGGCGTGATGTTTTTCGCCAGGCAGTTGGCACCTCAGCGAACCTCCCACTCGACAGCTCGACCTCTCTGGCCTTCTGACAGGAGTCGTGTGCTCACGGTGAGACAAAGGCCTGGGCTTAGAGTCTCGTGGACTTGAGCCGAAAGCAAAGAAGTGGCATGCACGAGGCGCAAAGTCACAAGGTCCTCGCCGTGGTTGTCTCTCAACGGTTCAACATGGTACAAGGGTTTGTGATTTTCTTGAGGGTGCCCTTTTAAGGGAAGCTAAAAGAAAAGGCCCACCTGACTTTGATCACGGGCACTTGCAGCAGCTGCTGCAGAATGCGCCGTGCCAGCGCCACCTTCCGAAGGCCAACAACGGGGAGGGAGTGGTGGACACTTGGGGCCTATGTTGCACCACTTGTCTTTTGGTGTATGCCTTTTCTTCGGCTATTGATATGTTATCGCTTTTCAGGCATTGGCGCTGGGTTTGGGTCCTCGAGTGTTGGTCGGGCATTGGTTCTTTTCGCCTTGGGAGGTTGGCCTCCCGGTGTCCATCTCTCGTGCGCCGCCTGGCCGCGGCGCAGAAGCCAAATCAGCGTCTCGGGATGGTAGGCCTTGAGTCGAATGCACCGGGCGATTTTTGTTTTGGGCGCGGCCCTGGGTGGATTTGTTGATTTTGTTTGTCTTTCTTTCCCCGTCTTCAGCAACCAACTTTGGTGAAACAAGCACCGCATTTCTGCCAAGACAGTCATCGCGGTGGAAAGCGGTGAGAAATGGGTGGGATGCGACTGCACATGATTCTTAGGTGCAAGGGAACCCGTTAGAACTCGTCAGGGTCCCCAAACACATGCTCGTCTAAAATATCAAGCGCTTCGAGAAAGGAATATCTAGATGTGATCCCCCCTCTTTGAGACGCAGCCAGATGCGTAACATGCTGAGGCTCAGGCCGGGCATGGCGACGCAGCTTGCAAGTATCCTGCTCCATGCCAACGTCCTTTGGAAGGGTAACCGTGGGATGATTTCAACCAAAAGCCAAACGGCAACCTCCAATTTTGCGGTTCCCCCAAGAGACAACCAGCGTTTGCTTTGTTTTGTTCCTTTTTCGGCCACAACTAGCAGTCTGCTTACCCCATGCGCCTTGCCACCAAGTTGGTTTCAACCGGGAATCTCCGTCTTCAACTGGTGCCCCGTTTTCAGATCCACAACATCTGGCTGTGGTTCAAACATAGGTACCCAACATGGAACTCTGGAAAATGGAAGCATGGACTAAGAAACCTGCTGTGCTCTGGTTTAGTTTTGACCCATACCCATCTGGGCTGTCCCGATTGTTTTTCCGGTAAAACCCTGCCAAAAGGGGCAGAACTCTTCCAACCCACGCCCAAAGGCGCGCTCCCTCGTGCCTCGGGCTGGAAGTGCAGTGACCACCAAGACCGGCCTGCGGCGAGGCCGAGGCCGGGCGTTTTGACCTCCACGCGACCTCCGAGCGAGCGAGCGCGCGCTGAAGCGCCTGCGGGGCCCGGCCGGCGAGCCGCACAAGCCCACCTCAAACGAGACGCGGAACATGGGACATGGGGCGGTCAAAAGTTTGCAGATCCGCACAAAGCGACGAACTTTTGGTGGGTTGAAGAAGCACAAAAAAAAACCTAAACAGCTAAGGAACAAGATGTCTGGGAACCAAGATCAAGGGGAAAACCAACTTGTGAGACTCGCCCGGTTCGAAATCAAGGCCTAATCACAATCCGTAATCCGCTTGATCCTTGTTCTGGTTGGGAATCTTCTTCTGGGTCAACACCGTATGTTGGAGCATGGGAAATCTCTGCAACCCACAATCCGCAATCCGCAAAAACCACACAATCTATTCAGTAAGCCGCATAATCCGCATAATCCGCCTAATCCGCTACTCATTGGGACTTAGGTTCTGAACAAGCTAGGTGCGATGAGAAAACAACGCGCCTGGACATGAGAAGGCTCGTAGAATCCAGCTCTGGCTTCCGTGAAGCTACACTGGGTCGCATCTATGCCCCCTACCTGAAACTGGCTTCTGGCCAAATCTGGGTTTTGCGCTTTTTCTTTGAACCGAGATGAAAAGGTGACCCGCAAAGAAATGCTCCAGTTCAACTAAGTGCAGCAGCTTTGCCATCTACCCCGGTACCCCTAATGGCTCTGAACTGTATAACCATCAGGGTAAAACCAGAGTGGTACACTTGCATATGAATTGGCCCTTCAAGGTGTTCCCATTGGAAGTCAGCCTTTCTGTGATGCCAAAGTGGGCCGTATACGAATCCCCAAACAGAAAGTGGCAACCCGAACTTTCCGCCACCATGCCCTAGGTATCCATCCCCAACTTTCCATCATGGGCTTTCCGTTCTCAGATCCCCTGCTACAAGGCTAGTCAACTTTGGGTGGGGGAAATGGACACCCAGCCACTAAACCAACGAAGAAGCTCTAAACACAAAGACTCAGGAACCGGATGGGTGACCAGCCACCGAGCCTTGGTGATCCCAACTTTTCAACCTTCCACCACCATTCCTCCAGGACAGGGTTTGGATGCGATGTTTGTGGATCCGCCCACCTCTAGGATCTCAAAGAGTACTAAGGAAGAACCAGAAGAAGCTTCCGGGGGAAGCGGCGAAATCCACCATCCAATAGGATCCCCGGCGTGCAGCACTGCTCCGTCGCCACACCAGGCGCACGCCGCGGGCTCCAGGGGCAACGCCTGCGGAGTTTGGCATCGCCCAAAGGGCCTTAGTTCAAGGAACCAGTCAATCTGGTGGGTACAAATCTCCCGATTCTGTCTGACACACACACACACATATGTATATATATATATATATACATGTAAATATATAGAGATAAATCCCGTACCCCCAGCGAACATCCCAATCCAACCACTAAAATAGGTTCTAAAATGGGTGGTGCACCGAACACCCCCAAAATGGGATCCCGAAACGGTTTTGACAACCACGGCCACATCTTTTCTCCTCACGGAGAACCTCGGGGAGACCATCGCGTCTGTGCGTCTGCGCACCTCCGCGCGAAGATCCACCGCTTCCCAGCGGTCGATGCTGCCACGACCTCCGACTGCGTGTCACGCAGCTTGAAACGGGATTCCAAGCATCCCATTCAAGCTGAGTGCTGGTGCTAGTTGGGTTTCACGGGTGCTAGTTGGGTCCAGGTTTGGGCGGAAAGGGAAAGGAACCCCTGTTGGTTGGCCAAGAGAAACCAAAAGACCGAAATCCATGTTGGGGGTCCCATGGACCTGCGGACTTGGGTCCCTCAAGGCATCCCGGCAGAGCAGAGCAGACGCCGGCGCCACGACCTCCGCTGAGCAGGCCGCCACCAGGAGCAGCAAAGCGCCACCTGGCGCACCGGAAATCTGGCCCTGGGTCAAAATCACGTGCGCCCAGTGAACCTCCCAATCCCCAATGCACCAAAAACCCCCCAAAAATGGGATCCCATGGGTTTTGACCCACAGCCATCTGACTTCTGCAACAAGAATTCCCGAACCTGAAATGGGGGGGTGTCCTTTTTTTGAGCTTACCTCGGATTTTGGTGAGCTTACCCCCCCCCCCTTTTTGGGGATTTTAAAGGGAACCAAAAGGAAAGCCGCTGCGCCATGTTAGAGGGGTCCAACCTTTAAAAAGACACACACACAACTAAGAATTGGATCCCCAAGTCAACTGCCACAGTGAGCTCGTTTTTTCTGTCTCTTCTTCTTTGGTATCCCTTGTTGGCTGGTTTGAAAGAGAACCCAAAAGGAACAAAACCATTCTGGGTGTGTCCCCGACAAAAAGACACGCCCATATGGGTTCTGAGAGCTCAAAAGCTTTCCAACCGTTGGTATGGTAGAAAACAACCAGCCGCGTTTTGCAGCCCTACTAAAAATGAACAGGACCAAAAACACACACAAAAAAAGAGCGAAGAAAGGTATGTTGGCGGGTTCTCAAAAGCTTTCCATGGCTCATTGTTTCGGTTCGTGTTGCCATTTCAAGGCACCTGCGCAGCGAAGCAATGATAGGCTGCCCTCCGTGAAGTGGGCATCAGCGTCCTGAGAGTCAAGAGGTCTTCCGGCGTGTTGATGGCTTCGCATCCCTCATCGGGGGAAAAACGAAGCGGCCAAAAACCGCCGGCGAGCGAATGCCATGGCTCCTGGCTCTCCGAATGTCGTGACCGTGCCAACCCAGGCAAAAGAATGTGCACTGCACACGTAAGGGCCGTTTCCTCTGAGGCGAGCACTGCTGAATTGTACGCCACGGCGCGCCCTGCAGGAACAGCAACCCGACCGCGTGCAAAGCCGCATGCTCCCTGCTCATTTCTGATTGATCTGGACCGGGCCAAGAGCAATCCCCCTTCTAAAATGAGATTCATTCTCCAGGGAGAAAAAAAAAAAAACAAACACACCCCTGAGTCGCTCTTCCAGAATCCGAGGTCGCTGCATTTCCGGGTCTGTGATGTCCACGGGACTGAGGACCCGGCCGCTTTGACTCACAGGACCCCCGAGGTATGCGTGGGACGTGGCCGAGTCCTTCTCTGCGCCTCGAGGTGATGCGTGCAAGGGTCTGCCTACGGCTCATGAGTCGCAATCAAAACCGATCGGTACTAAAATGGTCGTCCCAGAACCATGTACAGGATTGAGAGGCGGCCGCAGCTATCTATGGTTGGGATCGTCCCTTGCTAACCTTCGTCTACCTGGGTTTTGATTGTGGCTTACTTGCTGGTCCCATAGGCGGGGAATGAGACAGTGATGGCTTCCTTTCAAGGGAATCCCGAAACCAGCTCACTCCCAAACTCCTTGTTGCCTCCCTAAAAGCCAGCAAGTCAAGGCCAAAGTCTCTCACGTTCAGAAGGGGCCACTTCAGTCATTTCCTGCTCTTTTCCCTGCCTTGCTGACGTGTGGCTAGCAGCTGACAATGCCGCAGCCTGGAGCAACGGCCATGCGATGGCTTCTCTGTCACTTTCAAGGGGATTCCCTTGGTATCACAGTAAGTGGGCAATTGTCCACAGTGACCGGAGGCTTGGACGATTTCATCCAGAAAGGTACAAACAAATCATCTCCAACTGGGTATGTATAAAGAGATGCGAGCAACCTCCTTGAATAATATCTTGTTTGGTTTAGGCTTAGACCCCTGCAAAGAGTTGAACTTTTGTTGGTGAGTGGGAAGTAGATGTGTTCCAAGAGATTTAAAAGCCTCAAACTTCGTATGCCCCAAGCGCGGCAGGGCAGACGGAGCGTGCTCCCCCTCCAAAAGCCACACCAGAACCTGGCAGCGACAGCTTAGCGCCTCCTATCATTTGGAAAGAGGTTCACAATAATTAGGTGCGTGTCATTTGAGGTACACGTTTCACCTTTTCGGAGCAGATCTGACGTCGGACCCACACGCCAACAGCTCTCTTTGTGTGTTCCTTGGCCAATCCAGAAGAGAGCTAAGGAAAGACATTGCCCACCTCACTCGGATGCAAGTCCAGTGATGTTGCCCTTGTCGAGTACACCCTTTGTTCATTCATCAGCTTCACAGCTCCAAGTCCCCATGGGGCTCAGCATCTCAGCTATTCGAGCCGCGCCGAGTTGCGACAGTGAATTGCACACCACGATTGCACACTCTTCGGTAGGTTTGCTGAACCCTACCAGCTCTTTGGGGATGGTCCCACAAATCGTATGCCAGGCATTCCTTAGCCCTGGTGCTTTGTGAAAAGTATCTTCCTTGACTGTGGGCCCTTACATCCCGCAAGAAACATCTGGAGAAGAAAAAAAAAAACTCGGTGCCTCGCGGGTCGTAAGGGCGACCAGGCATTCATCGCAGAGAGCCATCTGCAAGACGGCGTCTCCTCCAAAAACATGTCCACTGAAAGTAGCAAGCCAAACGCACCAATGACACACACACACAATCACGAAGACCTCCAAGCAATCAAAACAAACTTAGTTTGAAGTGGAGATTGCCTTCCCTTGATGCCCGCAGCCACCTGCTTCACAAAATATATTTGCACCAGGCCTCTCAGCGGCACCATCAACGTCTGCCGCACGGTGACCTGTCTCCAAGTCGGCTTGCAAGGCTACGGTCATACTGCGGATGGACGAAATCCATTTCCACGACAAGCCATTGTTTGTTGGTATTTACGGGGAATCATCGTTCCAGGGTTTCTTAGGCGGTGCAGGATTGCGTCCATCCGCAGTATACCTCGCTCACGCGTCACGCGTCACCGCATCCCATTTATCTCAAATGACAAGACAGCCCTCGAAGTCGCTGCCTGAAAAGACGCAGCTGGACCCCGGAAGATCTCAGGGCGATCGCTTTGTACAAGCCCGGCGCTGCTTCCCAGCGACCGGTGCGAGAAAGCATACGACACTTGACGCGCGCACGACAAATGCGCCAACTAATTCAACAATGACAACTGCACCTTTGACATGGCAGTTCAGGCCATGTTTCTGGAATTTCAGGTTCAAGTGAGCAGTCGAAGTCAGAAGTCAGTCAGGCTTCAGGAGATGTACTTCAACCTGGGCTTCTTTGCCTCCCTCTGCAGTGCCTCCTTCGTTGGACTGCATGAGGTTCCTAAGACATGGTTGTGGAAAATGGCCCTTTCTGTGCCGAAGTGGACCATCCCCATGACTTGATCAGTTTCAAGGTCTCAAGAACGGGCATCATGGAAGCTCGCATGAGCTACTGTGGAAGGACAAATTCCTGCACCAGTTGTGATGGATGAAACCCTGTTGGGACAAACAACCTGCCAACTGGTAATTAAGCGGAGTTTGTCCTTCTGCGCCAAGACGAATCCAAAGCTCCAGACCCTGCGGCTTACGCACGGAACGGGCTGCAACTTTGCTCCGGCAACACGCGTCCTGCTCTTTCAGGAAGGCCTCGTTCCGCGGCTTGGCCCCTGTCAGCCCCACGGCCCGGTCCAAAGCTTGGCCCGGGCCCAGCCTCGGATGTGCGTCAAATCAAACCGGGTGGTTTGGGAGAGGCCGACAGGCAAACCAAAATGTTTGACACATACCCAATAAGGACTGATTGGTGTCCCTCTCTCCCTCTGAGCCAAAAAGGGGTGCCCACAAACAAAAAAAAACATGTGGTCTTAAGTGGTTGGGTCCTTCGGGTGGACATCAGCCAACAAATGCTCGGCTTGGTTGCCTTGTTGTTTGATCCTTGTTCTGCTACATGCACCCACGTCAAAGAAAGGAAGGATGGCAAAAAGAAAGAAATAACCCGGCCCAACTTCAAGTAGCTGGTTGCGCTGAGTGTCCGAAGCAGCTTCGCCAACTCATCCGTGCAATTTAAAGAATCTCCGTTCCTGAGAAACACGGTGCCCTGTTCTTTGTTTGGGTGGCCTGTAAAACGGGTAGATGTCCGTGAAATGGAACCTGAAAAGGGTACCCTCCAAGAAGCACACACACACACACACCCATGCACGCACAGACGCACGCACGCACGCGCACGCACGCGCACGCACGCACACGCACGCACGCACGCACCCACACACACACACACACAGAGACACACAGACACACAGAGGCGCACAACCAAATGGGATCTAGCATGTCACACGCATTGTCCTGCGCCGCAAGCTGGAACCCGTTCATTGAACCTCGTTTAGGCTCCGCTGACTTGCTACGAACGGAGGTGAAAAGTAACTGCATAAGGTCTGGCCCGCAGCGCTCCCTTTTCTTGAGCCAAGTTTGCCGTGACACGCGGGAGCCCACACAAAAGCATGCGCGCGTGTTGTATGAGGCCGCGACCCCGATCCTGAAGGGGGCTCCCTTGAAAGGAGCTGGATCGCGAGCGGAAGGAGATGGCCTGCAAAGGATCAGCTGGAGGGCTGGCGTGCCCAGCTCGCGAGTTGAGGAAAGAAAACAGTTTTTTTGGTGGAGCCTTGCTGCGTCCTGTAAAGCAGGGCACGGGGGCCTGTTTCCTGTCGCAAAGGAGTCGGACTTGTCATTGCCTGCGTGAAGTCCAGCAACACTCTCAGCTCCCTTACGCCCGGCCCCTCTGTCCGACAGTTTACCTGGCTCGCGCGGCTGACGCGTCCCACTTCCTTGAAGTGGTCGCGGGAGAATCGCCGGAGCCGCCTGTCAGGGAGTTGGGAGTTGATCGGCAAAGAACAGGCGGCCCAGCCAGACTTGGTTGCAAGCTGGCCATGCTGGAAGAGAAGCGAAGCAAAGATTTGAGCCGCGAAGACAAGGGTCGGTGTCGAGGGGGAAAAAGAGAGAGGGAAGAAGAAAAGGATGAAGAAAGAAGAAGAAAAAAAAGAGAGATGAGGCCCCGGTTTGTCAAACGGTCCACATTCTCTGCCGGTGGGGGCTCCAGCATCTCCACCTGGGTCGGGAGCCCACCATGTGCGCGGCACTTGAGCCAAAGTGACACGCGGCTTGACGGCAATATGTCTGAAGCAAAATTCGGTTCCAAGCACACGCGCGCGCGCGAGTTTGTGGGCGAAAGGTGGGGAAGACTGGAAAACGACGCCCACTCCTGGGCTCAAACCAGGGAGAAGAGCAAACGGGTGACCTGGTTTTTGAGTTGGGCGAACGTTCAAGCCGTTGCCATGAGGCGACGCTCGTGAGCGCTCAGGTCAATGTGGCTTCATGTCCGGCTAAACTGGATCAAAGCCAACAGCCGGCCACATCACACACGGAAATTCGGCCAGCGACAGCTTATCACCTTGAGCAGGTACGTTCTCGGGACGTCTCCCGGGAAGATCCGTGCCAAATCAGACCCGCTTCTTTGGGCAACCAATCTGATGGGCAGGTTAGAAACAGACTGCTGCGAGCGTGAAGCCTTGGTGCGTAATTGTTTCGGGTGGGACTCCTAAGCCAGCCAACGTCGAACTGTTCAAGATCGAGGAACGCATGAACACCAACGAGAGATACTCTCAACCTAACGGCGCTGGCTCCAGCCGCACGAATCCACGACCATGGCACATTTGACATGAGCAGTGGCGTTACAGAGAGAGAGAGAGAGAGAGAGAGAGAGAGAGAGAGAGAGAGAGAGTGACAGAGAGAGCGGGAGAGAGAGCGAGAATGAGAGAGAGAGAGAGAGCGAGAGAGAGCTGGAGAGAGATAGACAGAGGCAGCCCCGGCAGCTTCTTGCGCCCCAGCTTCATCTTCAGCTCCTTCTCGATCCATACGGTCGTGCGGGCTGCTCCTTCGACGGAACG